TCGTGGTTGGTGAGCATTCTATCGCTCCACTACTGATGCCCTGAATATCTACTATGATCATCACCACAATCTAACACCTCGATGTTGTATGTTAATAGTACTTTTAAAACTGTTTTTCCCCTTGTGTTTTAATAACTGTATACACAGTAATGTTTATGGCAATTAAAATCATTTGCAATTATGAATACACTACTAATGATGTAATGGATTATTAGTCTTATGTAAACCTCTGTTTTTTTTTTTCCAGAATATTTATTATACAATTTAGTTGTCTTTTTTATGATCATTTCTGTTTTAGTTTCGCTTTGTTTTTATTACTTTTATTCTCCCTCTCCCTGAGATTTATGTGTTGTGTGTGTGTGAGTGTGTCATTTACATAGCTTTCTGATTATCGTCAATAAAACCAGTTTAGTACCATGTAATAAATACCACATAATGATTTGGACTCATGTAATCTACTATCGTATATATATAAATCCCATATACTCATCGTGTCATTCATTGCAAGCATAATTTACATGATGTGTCATTACACTAACTGTCTAACCTTTAATTAATGGAACATAGGGTTTCCGCTGCACATCTCCTTTTCATCCTGTTCTCTAAGGCCTTATTTAGCGGGCTGCTCGATCGCGCATAACCTGTCATTTCCTTCATGCCACCTTGGAAAAACGCCCAGCTGGGTCTTTCGCTTCCCATTCGAGTTTTACTCTAGCGTCTGGAGCATCATATCACTTATCAGTCTCCTCAGCAAGTATGTGTTCAATCCATCTTCATTTCCTTCTTCCTATGCGTTAAGCGAAAGGTTGTTGATTGGTTCGTTGGTAGATTTCCTTTTATGCAACTCCATTCTAATCATGTAATCTCCAGTATGAAATCAACAAAGTCAGCTGTTGATAAAAGTTTGAAGTAGCTTATTGGCAATGGTTTTGGGGACGCGAGTGCCATGCTTCTGATCCATATAAAAGAACTGACTGACTTAATGTTAATATTGAAAATCCGAATTTTTTTCTTTATGATGACTGAGTGCAGAAGATTTCCAAACTGATTTCAGAGTGATGAAGGTCTGTTGTGCCTTTCCAACTCTGGTTTTGACATCTTCAAGTGTGTCTCCTGTAGTTGAGACGATTCTATCTAGATAAGTGAAGGCTGTGGCGTCTGTAAAATTTCTTCTGTTGACACTGATTGGTTCTTGTTGTTCCCTTGGATTTCGAGTGGAACATAGAACTTCACTAGCCCATCTCCATTTTACTCTGTTCCTTGCAGGTTGTTTTCTAACTCGCTCCACAATGTCGCATAAGCTTCCATTTCCTCCTCACACCATCTCCTCCATGTCACCCTGGGGCACACATTCAGCTCGTCGTTTCGCACTCGGTTTCCACTCTAGGATCTCATGCGTGATGTCGCTCAACAATCTCTAATCTGTCTTCACTTCTTTCCGCGTGTTTGTCAACCAAAAAAGTTCTTAGTTGTTTTGTTGCCTGACATAGTTTCTTGTTGCTCCTCATTCCCTTTCCGGTTCACCATATGATCTTGATGAAAGTCTTCGGCAGCTTGTTGAAAATGCTTTTATTGACACGCCAATTCTTTGAACAGCTGATTGTATCTGGCATGTCGGTAGGTTATTCATAAATTGTCATATTTAGATTGTAAACGGGTTGTAGATTTCAACTATTCAGCCAGCTCAGAGAACACAAAAAAGGATATACCAACAACAAAGGAAGTATCCTGGGATAACCTATCGAATATCGTCTGTCTTAAACCAATGTAATGATCATCCCCCGAATAATGACTGTTTCACTTGTAACTATAAAATATAATCTTGTTCAGATATACGATAAAGTGACTTTTGTACCTTAATTATAATAAATGGATTATACATATATATATACTTGTCCGAGTGATTCACTTTTTAGGCGTTTGTAACATATGTGTATCCTCTTGTTTCAGTCCAGTTCCTGTTTCTCTTATAAAGGTTTTCCTAAAAGGTATTTTATTTATATATATAGTGAATGCATACATATTGAGTGTCAAATAAGTGCTTGCCTAACTCTCTCATATGACTGGAGTTTTTTTATTAACTAACTTGTTTGCCTTTGAAATCATGGTTCATGAGATAAATGATAACAAACTTTTTCTGTGTGTGTGTGTTTATGTGTGAGTTTTTCATAACACTGTGCATGAACAGCTTGGTATGGCCTTTTGCTTACTGCAAACAGACGAAGAAACACTGCTATGACTATGAGTATTTTATGAGAGTAACTTGTCTGCCTCTCTTCATATTAAGCATGAAGTAGGCAGTCTTTCTGCACTAGTCTCTTCAACTGTTACTATTTTAACTCTTCTCATAAATTGTTTTGTTATCATGTCTTTTATTTTTCCCCCTTATCCTGTGAGATGTTTAAATGCTCGTGAGTGCAAAATCTTCTTCAAACATTGAAACACACCGAATTATGTTTGTTATTCTTTCTTGAGTTTTAGTTTATTTATTGATTTTGTCGGTAAAATCAACTTACCTGATAAACGAAACGTCAGGGATGCTTTGTAAGTTTGTTTGTTTGTCTATATCAAAAGTACTAATTTATAGAAATTAATGTTACAGAGTACAGTTTGAATGAATTCCATCTACGATGCAATTTAAGCGAAAGTTGGAATTCGATGGCCCACATTTACTACTGTTCAATCACTTGTTTCTATTGTCTGACGAATAATTTTGTCTACATTAAACTGTTATTACTCATTATTCCAAGTTAGATTACATTACGAACTGGCATCAGATTGGAAAACTATTAAAAACCAGGCAGTACTGGACAGCTATGTCGTTTTAAATTTAGTCTCTTCAGAAGTACGCAGGCATGACTCCGTCGGGTATCAAACTCGCGATCTTCATGTTGCGAGGTGGAATGGCAACATGATCACCTCTTAACTTGATGAGATCATGTATGCTTCCTGATGGAGAGTCCCAATCACAAGATGGAAGAGCTGTCCAGTATTCTCTAGTTTTCAGTGGTTCTCTAAACTATATCCGTTTTTCCTTATAAATTATTTAAATTAATCCCAGCGTGTTAAGAAAATCAAAACAAGATTTTTCTGAACGTTTCGCTGTGTAAGCCACAGCTTCTTCAGCAGATTTATCCGAATAAATCTGCTGAAGAAGCTGTGGCTTACACAGCGAAACGTTCAGAAAAATCTTGTTTTGATTTTCTTAACACGCTGGGATTAATTTAAATAATTTATAATGAATCAATCTGACTCGGCGCTCAAATTATTTCAGGAAGTTCGTAACACCTACGGCCTGGAAACCTATAATATCCGTTTTTGCATTTATATAAGTGAGACGTTTTCAGTATTCGTGTGCATCGTAGAAACTGAGCATAAATACAAACTTCACCGTAATTAGACTTCTTACCTGAAGACAGATGACATTGGGGGATCCCCTAAAATATTGACCTAAAAAGAATGTCTCCATATTTATGAAGCCTCTTACCGCATCGAGGAGGGAAAGATGAAGCCTTTGGTCATCTATACTCAGCTACAGACATACCTTCGAGAGGTTCTCATTCAAAGAAACTAGTTATTATAAATTCAATGAAAACAAAATCATCAAGCCACATTATCACTAAAAGTAGCTCTTCATTATTCTGGAAGGAATTCAACCCATGGAACTGTTTACATCCCTTCATGCTTCAAGCCAAGCTTTGGAATTTCAGTTGCAACTGTGTTGCATTTAAGGGGAGGGGAGTTCGCCAGTCTCACACCTAACCTCCCCTACTTTGGGGCCCACGATTAGCCGGGCTGGGTTTGAGGGTGCATGTCCGGGAATCGAACTCGGGTCTCCCACATAGCTGGTGAGCATTCCACCATTGAGCCACTCATGAATATTAGATGAAAAGTGAAAGAGACTGAAGTCAGGGATAGATTATGTAGTACGGAAATAACCTCTAAAGCAAGCTTCAGGATGCCATTCCTTAATGATAATTTACTCGATAATTAATGAGAAGGAAAACTGCCGTTTAGAGTTATCTGCTTACATACTGCTATTTTATTATTATTCCTTTGGGTTTCAAGTGGAATACTGGGCTTCAGCAGTGCATCTTCAATTTGTCCCATTCAAACTCTAAGACTGCCCATAGGCTTTCATTTCGTCTTCACACGATTTACTGCTTGTGACCCTCGAAGCCGCCTCCACCAGGGTTCCATTTGAGCGATGGTCTGCTTGGCGTGTGATGTTGCTCGACAGTCCTCTCAGCATGTGCCTAATTCATTTCCATTTTCTTCTACATATTTGTTGAACAATGCGTCCTTGATTGGTTTGTTGTCAGAGTGTTTTGTTGCTGATTCTTTCTGGTCGATCATCTGATATTGTATATGCAGCGGAGGCAGCTGGCGGTGAAAGTTCACAGCCTGTTTCCCCATACATATCTACTGATATACCCATGTGGTCCATTCTTCACACTCCTTATGTTGTGCAAACATCTTTCTACTTAGGCTATCTGAATAAAATCGGGCGATTTAAGCAACAACAAGGACAACTACATTTTTGAGTTGCAGTCTTTTTTAACCTACTTTATAAAGAAAATGGAACTATTTGGCCATGTTATCATTTTCATCTCTGTTCAATTTTCTTCTTGTTTACTGTCAAAAGATAACAACAGCTAACTAACTATTCAACTCTAAAAAACTTCTTTTTATTATCATAACAATAACACAACAAGAGAAAACAGATCTGCCTCCCTCTTTATAATATCTACAATCTACTACTACTACTATTGTGCATCTTGAGTATATACATGTATGTATGAATGTGATCCTTGCAAAGACTATGTTCTACAGTAAATTATGAATTGACATTCTGATTTTATACTTTGCAATTTGTTTGTTCATTCATTCTTAACTGCCTGCATATCATTCGCTTGCGTGTTTAATCCTTCTGGTTATGCCTTTTATGATTATTTGTTACTGATGATGATTGTTCCTCTTCTTTCTTTCATTTGTCATAGATCCCATCAAGGGAATCAATTGAACAGCCAAGATGTCATACTTGTAGAGAAATTGTTTATCCATTAGAAGCATTACAGACAATTGGTCGAGTTTATCATAAATCATGTTTCAAGTGTCATCAGTGCCAACGTGTTCTTACGTAAGTAAATCACAATTATTGTTGTTTATTAATTAACCTTATTCTTCGTAATTCCTCTGCGTTCCAAGTAGAACATAATGCCTGAAGCTTGAACACTGGAGTTTCAGTAGCAATGGTGTTGTCGTTTTTTGTGGGAAGGGGTTGCTAGCCTCACGCCTAACCTTCCCTTTTTACTGGGCTTACTCCTGGCTAAGTTAGGTTTAAGAATGCGTCGGCCGATAATCGAACTCCGAACCACGTGGGTCGTTTTTAGCGAGCATTCTACCACTGAACCATCGTCGTATACTTACCAGGCAGTACTGGACAGCTGTTTCTTCCTGGTTTAGAAATCTTCAGCAGTACACCCCTCCATCAGTATTCTAACCCAGGATCTTCCGATTAAAAGGCGAGATCGTAGACCATTCTGCCACTGAGACGCCATTAGTTACTAATATAGTGTATTCGAACAATTTGAGTTTGCCAATCTATTTTATATTCTGAAATGAGGGTGAGTATTTATGCTTCTCAGATGAATGCTTTTCATGTGATTGTGTCCTCCTAACTGCATGGTTTAAATACGTAGCCTTTATTCTCGTTCCCTTGAAAAAATCTTCAGCTCTAACTGCAATATGAAGTGAATTCTTCATATGGATGATATAGCTGTCTTTCCTGATGACCTGTAGTGTTGTCGGTTGTCTTCAGACGTTTTAATATCATTGGCAGTAATTTGTATTGGAGTATTGATCGTTTTAGCACTTCACACTGAAGTAAGCATTCAAGATGTTGCCTGTAAGGACAGTATAAGCTTCGCGAATATTCTATTATCGTTTTTACAGAACCTTTATGTATAGTTTCGTAAATTGTGGCAAGTTGAAACAGGGATTCTTCACTTCTGTGTAGCGTACTACATATGTGATAAATTAGTACGTCATATGGAGTATGGTTGATTGGTGGTCAGTAAAGAATTTATTGATTCAGTGAATAAAGTAATTATAGAGCAGTTGTTTTCCTGCTTATTCACATTCTTCCTTCTGATCACATGTACTAGAAGTATTTTATTTTGTTAGAGAATGCCTTTAAAACCCAATCGAATGAAGTTACTCAGAGTTTATTTGAGTCTCATACGGTATAAGTATAAATTGTCTGTCTGGGCCTCTCAAAATGCATATGATCACTATTTAGAGACGCTTAGCTATTCTTGAATATCGTTGATAACAGGATAAATGTCTGTGCATGGAAATACTTGGCTTTTAAGGAAAAGAATTTCCAACAGATTTCAGACTTTCATCAACAGCTGCCACCTTCGATGACTGGCTCCATACTGAAGATCAAATAGCCAGAAAGAATTAGTAACAAGAAACTCTGGCTGAGACCAAACCAACCAATAGCCGATTGCTCAACAAATATGTAGGAGTCCATTTAATTTAACTATCACACAGTATGTGTGCGTGTGTGGCCATTCCAGGTGGTTGAATTCTATCCAACGCATTATTTTCAGTTTCTAACAGATAGACTTTACCTACACACATTCCCGACCGACGTATTCATAAGCCTTGCCTAGCTTTCTGACCAATAAAGTAAGCTTTGGAAAGAGGGGAAGGTTGAGCATGATGCTGGCGACACCATCCCTTAAAAACAACACCACCGTTAGGGAAACTTCAAAGCTCAAGAGTTTGGAATCCTATCTTCCATTTGGAACTCAAAGGTATGAAAACAACCTATTGATTCTGATGAATCATTTGGCTTTTTCAATGCACTATGAAACAGAAATCGATTATGCATGTAACACTATACACACTTGTATTAGTATCACTGTTATTATTATAATTATAACATCTGAAAGAAAGCCTATATTCGCTTGTGGTATAAACTAATGTTTAGGCATAAGTACATTCTCTACTTTAATATGAGTTATGTAATGCAATCTAAGGTTAACTTATCTATTCATTTATTTATATTGATAATGGCATATATATATTTGATTATTGCTAATCAGGCCACTAAAATTAGTCTATATATATATATTATATAGTAGCTAGTCCTGTATTTATTGAAATTAGTGTATAAAAGAGACTTTTCTGTCAGTAGAACTAACTAGTATAACTTGATGTTTTGTTCACATATATTTATGAATATTGTCAAATCATAAGTATAGGTTTAGAAAAAAAATACTCATTTAGCCATACAAATAAGAGCGAATTACAGGGACTGAGTAAATTCATTTCGGCGGGAACAGGAATGAGGAGCACTAGACTTATTTTAGTTTGAAGGGAATTAGCGATGGAATCCATAATGTTAGTTTCTCCCCATTTAAGACTCATCATCTGGATGTACCTGGATACCCAGTGATTGATGATGTACCCACTGAAACTCTAAGCTTACACCCAACATCTCAAACTCTAAAGCACCATCTACTAGACTACGATGGTCACCTCTTCTGCAAAGGGTATCATTTATTATTCGTTTTGAGGTTAATTTGCATTTCCTTTTGATTGATTATGTTGGACAGAAATGTTCAGCATCTCTTGATATACCGGCTCCTAATACGGAAGCTTCAGGAGGAAGGTCATCGCCTACTATGAATGCAGGCACATCCATCTGAAGAGTCACAAATAAGACGAGATGCTCGACCTGGATTCCACCACTAGTCACTAACAACCAAAGTAAATTCATGTCAGGTCGCAGACATCGTCAAAGCGTCCGTACTAGGAGCCGACATGTCTAAATAGATATCGAGCATTTCTTTTCAATACAATCAGTTAACGGGAAATGCAAATCTACCTAGGAAGAAATGAAGTGTACTACATTTGCACAGGTATAATGTCTTAATTGTAAAAGAGAAAGTGATGGTTAGTTGAACAGAAAGTAAACTTATCTAACTCAACCCAGAGTAGCAGTAGTAGTGTGGTGAGAGCTGTCTACAAGCCAAAATTGTAGACAACAATTTACGTCAATATTTACGTCCCGAATCGGGGTCATGAGAAAAAAAATAACAAAGCTTAACCTTGAGGAACTCACCAGCCAGTCACAGAGGAGTTAAAGTGTGCAAATACGATTCGCAGATATATGGCTTAATTTTCTGAGAAACGGTCACAAGCAGTACAGAATAACCTTCAGCAAGAAAACAACCAATCAGAAGACGTTGCTTCTCCGCTGACAATAATGTACATAAAAATCTATAAATATCTCTTGATTTTCTCAATAGAGGATCTGTTGTCTGGCCCTTGTCTTCTGTCGCTACAATAGTAGTAATTGTTACTGTAAAGTGTTTTAATCCTAAGAAAGACAATCCATCGAAATGGAGGTGCTTCTACGCTACTCCTTTCGCATAACACTTAAAAAAAGTCCTTTGTTCTTCAAAATTAAAACCACTGTCTTTTTGTACATTTTCATGCCATTTACTTGTTGAAATATTAACACATTGCAAGCAAATATTTACATGTATCTTTCAAGTTACTTAGTCTAAAGATACGTTCAACCTAATACACAAGTAGTTTTTCAACTATCCTTTTGAAAGTGTTCGTCAATAACTAAAATGTGTGTTGAACAGTCATACTTCAGGCTTTTATTAAAGTTTCTGACTACAGAACAGCTGATTAACTTTGCCATCATATTATTGAATAAGTTAGTCACTGAGGGAAATTAGTGATCTTAAATTTTTATTGTCAAAGTTATCATTTTTTTGGTGTTGGTCGTCACACTTTCATAGGTGGATGATTTAAGTGAGTAGCTTTCATTGTCTTTCTGGGCAACATCTTCAGTACTTAGTTACATTTGAATAATCGTTGAAGATGTTGTTTAGAAGAATTATGGAAGCTTTACAATTAAACAGGCAAGCTCAGATGACACAAACTATACCAAAATGAGGTAACTTTGACATGGAATTATTGTTATTATTGAATTATTTCCCTCTGTCTAATGTAATGTGATGCTGTATGACTGGACTACAGAAGCTTACAGTTTGAAGTTACGGAGTGAAGTGGTTGAGCGTGTCAACCAGTTGAATCAGCCCTAATCAACTGATTGCTGACGAAATTTCAGCACGGATAGAAAAGGCTCGAGTGGAATTTGCGAACTTACGTCATATCTGGCGTAGATGTGATATCCGACTACCGATCAATGGATGTGTGTACTGCACAGCCGTTCACGCTGTTCTTCTCTATTGGGTGTGAGACGTAACCACTGAATGTGGGAGATATGAAAATACTAACTGTATCTGACCACAAATATTCGAGTTTTATATTACTTGTTAAGTAGTATAATATGGTTAGTAACATTGAGGTTTAACATCGAAAGTTAGTAAGAAAGGGAAAGTCAAACAGTCATGTTGTGAAGCTGTTTTGATTGCGATGGCTAGGGCACGTGCAATATCTCATCGTCAGTCAGTCTTAGCTGATGCACGAATAGGTCGGTAGGGTGATTAAACCAACCCATGAAGTGTTTGACAATTAACTGGAGCCCAATTAGGCAGGTGTACATTGCCTGATTGAGGTCATTGAGATCCTAGAATCCTATGGCTTGTGACTGTTGGTGATATGTCATCAAATCTTTCTCAGTGACGATGCAGATGCATTAACACATTTTGTATTCTCCAAGTCCATGAAATATTGATTATTTTCCATATACTTTTTTCTTCCCCTCGTACATATCTGCTCGCTATAGTTCTTTTGATTTTCTTTCTTTTTCTCAAACTCTGTGTTCTGTATGAAGTGTACCAACTTGAAGTGGTACACTTTTGAACAGTCTGTCAGTTAAATGTATATATTATAATTTTTTGCACAGTTCTTTGTTCGATTCCTTATTACACTGAGGGGTTTGTGCAAACTGATTTAAAGTTGCTTATTTCCACGAAACCAATTGTAATCATGGGACTAGTGGAAACATGAGAGTAGTAGTAGATAGTCTTTCTTTCTTATCTGGGAATTCTTCATCTCAACGAACTTTTAACTTCATGCACAACTGAATTCAGCATCATTCAGGTTGTGTTTTTTTCACAAAGAAGGTTATCACCCATTTGATCA